TAGTGTACTGTTTTTTTGAGAATATTTTGTTTTTAGTGTATTTTGTTTTGTTTTTAGTGTATTTTGTTTGGAAGTCGGTTTTGTTTTTTGTTATATAAAAGTACGAGCTGTTGCCCGAGACTTCGTCCGCGTGGTATTAGAAAACATGCGAACTATACGAATAACAAAAAGCTACGTATCCCTCGGGAACCGGACACCTCGAGGATGAAGCTTATCCCATGTATACTCCAGACTTTGTTTTACATCTGTGCCAAATTTCAATAAGATATGTTGAACCGTTGCAGAATGATCGAGTAAACATTAAAAAACTAAATTAATGAATCCCAAAGGAACCGTAACTTATCCCGGGATAAAAAATAGCCTATGTGTTCTTCCAGACTATGCTCTAAACCTGTGCCAAATTTCATGGAGATCCGTTCAGCCGTTTAAGCTACAAACGATAACAAACATCCATCCATCCATCCATCTAAACATTCGCATTTATAATATTGGTAAGAAGTAAGATATATTTTGCACGTCACGTAGGGTGGCATTTGTTCGAGGTATGTTGTATCAAGGTTATCACACTCTTGGTCCAATTATAAAACGTAACTGCTGCTTCGCGTCGGTTACGAATTTTAAAGCTTCGATAGTCGTTTGTATTTTGATTGATTCTAATTTTTGACTTGTTAGCCGACGGCGTCCAATTTGCTAGTTTTAAGTTCAAACATTGCTATGTATTTGAGATGTTTAGCTGTTGTAAGTTTTTACAATCCGGAAAAACATTCCTGCATTAATATTCCGAGAAAAAAATATGCAAGGGTAAAATCTACGTAGACGAGCACAAAGAAAAATTTAATATTACTGAAAATAGTAGAATAGGGGAAGAAAGTTTGTACAGGAAATAATATTCCTTCAGCGGAATTTCTGTAAAATTTTAATTAGTGTTATAAGAAGGCATCATCAACATGGACGAAGTCGCGGGCGTTAGCTACTGTTCTAAAAATCGCTATGTTTTTTCCAGATAGTAAATAAAATTCGTAGAAAATTCCTGTTACAAGATTAATATCTACGCGCGACTCCTTCCGGGACTGAATGTATAATAAATACGATCCTAACGGTATGCTCGAACTTCTTGCAGGTGTGAATACTCGTATAATCCATAAAAATGCATCAGAGTGGCGGGGATATTGACATTTATATAAACTTAACATGTCGTTAACACTTCCTTGTGATAATAGTGACAACAGCGGTTAATAATTGAAAAAAGAACCTTAAGTCCGCTACACACCTTTTTTATGAACTGTACAGTCTTAACTAAAGATTCGGGCTGTATAGTTTAAACTGGCATGTGTAGACATTGAGAAATTAACAGTTAAACTGATAGAATGTTGCTTACACACATCAGTTTTAACAACAGTTCCACAGTTCGACTGTTACTTAAAACTGAATGTTGTCCTAAACGAACTTAAATCAACATCTGAGTGAGACTGCTGGCTTGAGATCGAGTTAAGGGCGGTATAAATCCTTACTTTGGTATTAACCGCTACACAGGACATAATCTGTAGATAAAACTGCTTTTTTAAATTTTCAAACAAAATTTCGTGCCAAAATAAGGCACTAGAAACCATTGAGCAAGCGTGCTAGATGTATGAATTCATATTTAGCTAAAAAGGTGTGCTAGATCCGCTCCAAATTGACGTTACTAATCACTGCCTACGTCTCTAAATTATGTTGTCGGTGTTGGTAATATTAACAAGTTAAAGAAAATAATGCGGTATGAATAATAGTGAAATTTTAACTAATTATGTTATTTTGTTGCAGAGAATCGATGACAACAAGTCCTCTACCTCGTCCTCCTTTTCTAATGATGTTGAAGAAATAAGTGAGTATTCTTAATTAATATTTCATAAATAAATAAAAATATTTCATTATTAGTTAATCTGATAAGATAATAGAACAATATAATCAGTAAAAAGATCAGTTTTTTTAAGAAGGATAGCTAGAAGGCGGAGTTCGCGATTTGCACGCTTCGAGTAAGTTAAACCAGTTGATCGCGCAAAAGCTTGGTGGCAAGTGTTAACAGGCACCCCCGACCTTATCCGCGCTCGCGCCCTCTCCCCCTCCAGCATCAGCTACCTCGCCCTCCAGTTAAATATGACAAAGCACTGTTGAATTTACCAATAAATTAACTTGATAACTTATAAAACTCAATTTAACAGTTTATTTTCCAACTTCATTGAATTTCACAATTTCCACAAAACTATAATTCTGATGAATACTCGTATATATTTTTTCATTTATAATTCCGCTTATTGATATGACACAAACAATACTTGGTACTGTTAATGCTATTTCATATTAAATTGTACTAAGATATTAAATACAACAGAAGCCTGAGAAATAAGATTCCACGCTTGACTACGTCTTAATTGTAAACATAACCGTGGGTTTCTACTGCTGAAGCATTTGCAAAACAATATTTATTGTCATCCCTTTCATTCTTATTAAAAAATCTATATAACAATATGTATGACATATTAATACTATCTACGAGCCGTGACTTTATCCGCGCGGAATTGAACAAAAATCATGATTTCTTTCCAATAGGTTTCTCAAGATCTTTATATATTTGACAACTGTTATTATCTATTTGACCTTTAAACTTTATTACTGGAATGAAACGCCTAATAAACATCAGCTAGGCATCCCGTGTTGCCACTTCTCCCACAGCATTTAATATATTGCACTTGACTTTTAAATTTCGAACATTAGAATTATAGTAAGGAAAAATTGTTAAATCACGTTACAACTATTTATAGTTTCCCATTTTGTTTCTCCGGCGCACTTAAAATGTCTTCTAATTTCGGTTGGTCATCATCTTGACCGTGCTGGGCGTCGAACACCTTCCCCATCCACAGACTGTAAATCGCACCCCCAACCAGTGCACTATTGTGTATATTTTGTATGCATCGACTTTTATAGCGTATGTATACGTATAGCTGCTACGGTCGCACAGGGCTTGTTTCCCGATACTGTGATGAACGCTTTGGCCGACCAGTTACACTCAGGCAGCCATCGGGTTAGGTCGTGCTACCCTGTCTCAACTATTCATTAATAATCGGTGTCTCGATAATTTTTCTTAAGTCTAAATTGGCTTAAAGTATAAAATTTGGAAAAAAAATATTTAAAAAAAAAGTTTTTAAAAAAAAAAAAGTTTTTCGATTTTCAAAATGTTTTCCAAGCTGTCGGAGAAGGGTAAGTAATTATAGTGCAAACAAATAGAAAACGGAGTTTATGTATTCCTTTACGAAATAAATCGGGGATTCGAATCCGAGACGCGAATGAAGCGTTTAAACTTTCTTCGGTTGTTTCTCTGAGGCTTCCATTTTGCCTGTAAACATTAAAGAGAATATGGAATAGTAAAAACTTTACGTGTTTACATAGTAAATATTTTTTAAAGTTGCACGGAATGTAGGTCACAGGATGATAGTGTTCGAAGCCTCTCGGGCGAGCAACTGTTGCGTTCAAACAACTGTTTTACAGATTCGTACAGCATTTAAAATTGACTTACTGTGCATCGAAGTTTAAATAATTTAAATACACATTTATATAAAGTAATTATTAGATTTTCGGAATTTTAATAATGCCAAAAATTATTTTTAAAACATCAATTGTATAATTTAAGAGTATTGTTCACTGATTTCCGTCAAATTGTTGCTATAATTTTTTTACTGATGATATTTACTATCAAGAGTAATATAAGATTTATTTCATCTATGGAAGTATTTCTTGTATTGCTCGATTTTATTTCCCAAAAGGATACGTGTAGTTTCAACAGACCTAGTCTAAATGTCACACACATACAATGAAGTCGATTAATTTACTGTTTAAATAATAAGATTTTTATAATTAATTGGCATTTGCTGTACTCGAGTTTAAAATTTCTTGAATAATGTTAGGCGGTTTAATTCCACGCTTTTCTATTTTAAATACAATTTATAACACATTTTATATTATAACTCAACAACTTTCAGTTTTAAATGGATTTTTTAAGCCACACAAAGGCAAGAGTCCTTGGACGAATGATACCCGGAATTAGCAATACCTGGAATTTTCTATTTTGCTACATTGGAAATGAGAAATTAATTTTGCACATTGAATTATATTACAGGCATTTTATATTCCTTCACAAAGAAGGAGGACCTCATTTGTATTTCCACAGATTTTACAATGTTTTTGTGTAGCGATGTTCGAGTTACCGCCAGTTTCCACTATTGATACGTCTTTCCGTTATAGTTTCTTAAGTTATCTAAGTTTCGGCAGTGGAAGCAGCTTATTTACGGTAATGCGGGATATATCGTAGACATATACCTTTTTCAAATATGTATGAAATTAGACATTTTTGCTAACTTACAAAAAGCTTTTGTTAGGAGGTTCACAATAGACGGATTGCTGGGATTCGAACCCACGACCGCTAGATTGACAGTCCATAACCAAAGCAGGCTGTTGGCGCTTCAAAGTAAACTTTATAGCCTTAATTTCTCAAAGATTTAAATGTATTAAGTTTTAAATTAACATAAAAGTTGAACGTTCCACGTTAACGCGACTCACGTTATTAAATAACGTGAAACTGTCGCCTATTTGTGAAATAGCGAAGTAAAAATCAAAATATACCGACGGTCGCTAAAATACATATTTTATTCTTTAAATTGGTTCATTTATTCTCTATTTTAATATTGTATTTACATTATTTTTTTTAAACCCCGATACGCCCAACTTATTTATTAAAATTAAAATCGTCGAAGCCGTTTGTGCGTTTATTCAGATCATTTTGGATATGTTACTTTAAATGCGTAAGCTATGGCGAATCCTATGGTTTCCCGGTGTCTAGTTTAATCTTACTAATATAAATGCGAAAGTTTAGATGGGTGGATGTTTGTTAGAGTTTGTAGCCTAAACGGCTAAATAGATTTTGATGACATTTGGTACAGATTGTAGATGATAGTCTGGAAGAATACGTAGGCTTTTTTTTCTAATTCCACGCGGACAGAGTGGCGGGCGAAAGCTTGCTAGGTATAAAATCAGCTCATAAAATTGTTAGTAAGTCTCTTATACTATGTTAGTAGCGGAACAGAATATAACGAATATTTTACAATTAAAAAATTCAGTGATCAGAGTGTAATTTTAGACAGCTTTAAGGGATCGGAAATCAGAAAATTAATGTAATCTTTGTCTATTTTTTTTATTTACCATTTTGAAAAAATAAAAATTGAATAATCTTAAAACATATTAATTTGTACCTAATTCAAATTTTTATTTATTACCCAATTTGTAATTATTTACATTAACTACAAAAAAATGTCACTTTGTGTTAGCACATGTTCGATTTAAAAAAAAAAAAACAAATAACATAATTTAATATTCTGTAAAAATTCACTTTCTAATAATACTTGTTTGAATTGTATCTGATAGTAGACTACGATATTATATATCAATTTAACAGCTTAGTACCGTTATAGCGATCATTCTATACACTTGAGTGCATGAGGGCAATCATGATTGAATTATCCTAACTCTATCCGAACTCGCGGCGACAGTACGTAACGATATATATTTTCATATCGTTTTAACAATATATCCAAGTCGACTTATCTTTTATTAGTTAGTCTGTATAACCTAGAAATCACATGCAACTATTCTAAATAATTAACTTTAACAGTGGTAGAGCCCGCTTTAACATCTTCCTACGAATGGGCCGATTCGCCCGGTGCAATACCACGACCACACAAATGACAGGCATAAGGGGAAGCAATTCCGCGTACAGTCTCCTGAGTGTGCCTGCCGGAGGCCTAATTTTACTTTATTTTTTACTACGAATAGGCACTATTTAATTTTTATTAACATTATATATTATCCAATTAATGTTAAAATTACTTATGGTAATACGATATTTGTATCATATTAGAAAAATGGTGCATTTAATATCAAAAGTAAATGAATTTAAAAACTACAAAGTATCATATTTAACATTGTACGATTCGTTAAGTGAAGTCACTGGCAAATTGTGAACTCTGAATTTGCGTATCGAACAAGCACATACATAAAGTATTATATCTACTTGAGTGATGACAATCTCTAAAGTCCTCTATTCGATGCCGAAGTGTGAACCCTGGAACGACTTAATGCGACAGGGCTGTCACTCCGCGTCATTATTCCGCATTGTTCTGCCCTTTCGTCGACAATCACGCGCTGTCAATTCGAATTGCATCAAAGACATTGAAACATAAGCTGAAAAGAATATCTATTCCGGTGAGAGTGGCACTTATCTCATTTATGTCCTCACCTCCTTAAAATTATTAATAACCAAGCCACGACAAGAGAACTACAATCACAATAGGACTGTATCACTTTTGCCTACTGGGTCAGATACATTTGTTACACTATACATAAGTTAAATGCATGTATCTTGATTGAATATGTGGTAAGAACAACGCGTTGCTATAGTTACTGGACCGCGTAGCATGTGTGTGGCAAAAATAAACTGGTTGTTACTAGAAATATTAAGATAATCTTATATATATTTTTTCACACTTTGATTTTGCTTTATATTGTCTACAACGTTTGGACTTAGAAGATCTATATTAACTACACCTATGTTTCCTTAGAAACAGTGTACATCAGTAGAATAACAGTGCGTCAAATTTCATAGCACTCGACAATATCCATTGGTTTCGGACCATATAGACAAGCAATGTTTTGATTTGTTTCACAATTATTAACGTAACCTGAACTTGACAGTTATCTCTTATTTTGTTATTCCAGTACTCAAAGCGAAATCTTATCTTTATTGGCAGCTATGTTGTTCATTACGTTTCGTGAAGT